CCTCTAGGGGCTGCTGCTCACGGCCACCTCTAGGGGCTGCTGCTCACGGCCACCTCTAGGGGCTGCTGCTCACAGCCTCCTCTACGGACTGCTACTTAGACCCTCCTCTAGGGGCTACTACTCACAGCCTCCTCTATGGGCTGTTACTCACGGCCTCCTCTAGGGGCTGCTACTGACAGCCTCCTCTAGGAGCTACTACTCAGAGCTTCCTCTAAGTCCTGTTGATAACCCTTCTCCCTGCCTCCATTTGGCAAGCAGACCCTCAGCCTGGGGCTCTTAGGGCAGAGTGGAACTCTGACATCTTCATGAAAACTCTTTTTAGAGAGAACTGGGTGACCTGCTCCCTCTCTGGGTCCCTCGTAGAATGTGTGCTGTCCCCAGCTGTGTGATATGGGGGAGGTTTGAAACAAAAGTTATCACAGGTTTTTTTGAGTCTGGCAAGCACTGTTTAAATCCACTGTGGTGAGTCCTCTGTGTCATTGGCCTTTGTTAGCAGGGTCAGGATGTCTCTCCTTTCCTTCTTTCCTCACCAACTCGGCGCCCTTACATCTGACTCTGGGGCAGGGTCGAGGGATGGGGATGGAGCTGTTCTCTGAGACGGGTAGGGTAGGTTCCACCACAGGTGGGGTCTGAGTGAGGTGGCTTCTAGCATTGGCAGTGTCCTCTGAAGCAGGACCCCGTGCATCTGTGAGTATGCTCACACATGCGGGTGTGCCTGTGCTTCTGTCTGCTCTCAGTGGTTGTGGGGCTGTTTTGATTGTGGGGGATCTCACCTCACCTCCACCTCTTAGTTCCCATTTCATCAGAACAAACGGAGGAAGCAGAGAAAGATGATCTCAGGGTGCAGCTGAAGCGGCACCATCCCTCCAGCCCTCTTCCTGGCAGTAAGGCCTCCAAGCGACCGAAGATCAAGGTGTCCCTTCTCTCCCATGGGGACACAGGCGGAGGTCCATGTGCTCCTTCCCAGGGAGGAGCCGCAGAAGGTGAGCATCTCTTGGCCTGTCTAAACAAGCTGACTGAGTTTTCCCAGGGCACTTAGCGTTACCATCTTGGGGGCTACTTTCTGGATGTCTCAGCCTCTACTTCAGTGTGAGAGGAGCTTGGAGCAAAGGAGGCAAGAGGTTGCCCGTGAGGAGAGAACAGGCAGTGACCTGCTCTGAGCGAGAACCAGGGAGGCAGAACACGAGAGGAAGCTGTAGGTCATTCGAAGCATCAGAAATCTTTTTTTTTTTTTTTTTTTTTTTGGTTTCCATTGGGATATTCTAGAAAACAGAAGGACAAGTTAACCAGCTCTCCCTGCTAGAGTACAGGAAGTTGTTCTTTTTGAGTTCCTGTCTTTGTCCACATTGCCTTGCATGTGGCTTGACTGTGGAACCCTGAAAGGTGGGGGCTGAACAGGACTGACAGGTGACTTTGGGCTTTTCTGTTCTGCAGTGTCAGGAGGGAAGCCCATCACCATGACCTTGGGGCAGGCGTCAGGGGCCAAGGAGCTCACGGGGCTTCTCACCACAGCCAAGTGAGTCTGTTTCCTGTCTGTCTGTCTTTGTTCCCTTTTTTCCCATTACCCCTTCTCTGGTCCACTGAGTGCTTTGGGAAGACAGTAGATTCTGGGTTTTGTCAGTTATGGGAATGTGACTTCTTTCTGAGTGGGATCTTTGTCTTTCTTTTGGGTCAACTCAGAGTTCATGTTTACTTAGAGATTTCACAGTGGCCCTAGCTCTTGCTCCAGGGCTGATGTCCTTCCTTTCGGCCGGACTTTTAGAAGGACTGTTGTCAGCGGCTGTCAGGTTGACCCCAACTCATGGCAACCTCATGTACAGTGGACAGAACGCCGCCCAGTCCTGTGCTGTCCCCGTGATTGGCTGTGGATTGGACCGTTGGGATCCGCAGAGTTTTTATTGGCTGATTTTTGGAAGTAGATCACCAGACCTTTCTTCCTAGTCTGTCTTAGTCTGGAAGCTCTGCTGAAACCTGTTCAGCGTATTAGCAACACCAGGCTTCCACTGACAGACGGGTGGTGGCTGTGCATGAGGTGAATTGACCAGGAATCAAATTCATGTTTCCTGCATGGAAGGCAAGAATTATACCACTGACCCACCAATTCCGTCATTGTGGAAGGACGAGAGACTGAATTTGGAAGGTGGAATGAAGAAACGAAATGTTCTAGCCTTGTGTCCATTTCTGGAAGCCTTCCTGGGCCTGACTCTGGATCCCTTCCTGTGTTGCCAGGTTCTGCTGCCCTCAGGCCTTTGGATAATGGAGTTCCTTGCTTTGCCTCCAGGTCTAGTGCTTCTTCTGAAGGGGGGCTCTCAGGCAGCCCCGCCTCCTCAGCGGTCTCCAGCAGCCCTGCGCCCAGCGCTTTGCACACGCTCCAGAGCCGCTTGGTGGCCACCTCTCCAGGCACTTCCCTTCCAGGTACCTCGTAGCGCAGCTTTCTTCCCCTCCCAACAGAAAGGGTCGTTCTGGCGAAGTGGCTCTGGAGCTGCAGCTGCAGGGTTCTCCTCTGCATCTCAGGCCTGTCGCAGAGGCTTGGCGTGAGTCTGGAGTTAGAGTTGCGGTAGAGGATTCCTTGTCTCTGATACCTTCAGGAGTAGGTACTCCCGTCTGCTGGCACCATGCCCTCTACTCTAAGAAGGGTAGATAACTCGGGGGGGATGTTTGTATTTTGTTTGGTGTTTTAAACACATCTGAGGGAGTAAAACCGCTATGCTCCCATCTCCTCCCCTGCCTGGAAAAGCTATAGTTGCCAGAGCCTAGGCAGCCGAGGTGTTGCCGACCCTCCTCTTCTTCAGGAGGGCCTTCCTCTGTGCTTTGAGACTGCTGGACTGTGAGTTAGCTGAAGGGTAAGCCAGGTATTTGGAATTCTTTTGGCTTAGAAAGTCCTTCCTCTCCCCTGAAAAGAAAGGAGGGAATTTTAGATTTCTGAAGAGTGAGATTCAGGCTCTCTTTGGTTCCTCCTAAAATTTTCCAAAATGTGGGACAGGTGGTTTGGGTCAGGTTGGGGACTTGCAGAGGGAACTGATGCAGTTTCTGTCATAGTACCTTTCCTTAGGTGGTGTCCAGTGCGCGCGGGGGGACCTTCCTGGTGTCTTTCTGAGAGCAGTGGGACATCCAGGGGAAAGAGTGCTAGCGTTTTAGTTGATGTTGAGGGTGGACGGGCATGGCTACCTTCAGGATGAGTGCAGGTGACTGAACCTGTGCTGACACCTGTTATGTCCCCCTCCAGGGGCCACATCGGCCAGCAGCCTCCTCCAAGGCCTCAGCTTCAGCTTGCAGGACATCAGCAGCAAGACCTCTGGCCTCCCAGCAAACCCCTCCCCAGGGCCAGCCCCACAGGTGAGCTCTGCCTTCCCTGGGCTGGCAGGTGTGGGAGGTGGCCTTCTCAGCTCTGCTTTGTGGGGAGACTGGGTCTGGGGTCAGCGGGTCTAGGACTGCAGCCTTCTGACTACGCGGCTGGGAGCTGCAGAGGTTAAGGTTCCTTCCCTTATTGTGTGACCTTGGGCGAGGTTCTTGACCTGTCTGCGTCTTTGTGATAATGGTACCTCCCCCTCAAGAGTTGTGAAGATTGGCGCAGCGGTTAAGAGCTCGGCTGCTGACCAAAAGGGCAGCAGTTTGAATCTACCAGGTGCTCCTTGGAAACCCTGTGGGCAGTTCTGTTCTGTCCTGTAGGGTCGCTGTGAGTCAGAGCCGACCCGATGGCAGTGGGTGTATGCAAAATGCCTGAAAGAGTGTCTCGCATGTAGTAGGCACGCACTGCATGGTAGTCTTTGATAGTATTTTCTGGGCCCTCCAAACACAAACCTTGCTGTTGGGCGACAGCTTCTGACCCCTGGGCTTGTGTGTCCCACAGGCCGCCAGTATGAAGTTGCCCACCCCCATGCAGAGCCTGGGTGCCATCACCACGGGCGCCGGCACTATCGTCCGAACCATTCCTGTGGCCCCCACTCTCTCCTCCTTGGGTGCCACTCCTGGTGGGAAGCCCACAGCCATCCACCAGCTGCTGACCAATGGGGGCCTCGCCAAGTTGGCAAGCAGCCTCCCTGGCCTGGCCCAGATCTCTAACCAAGCATCAGGTGAGTCTCAGGAGAGCTTCCCCAGGACCTTCCCATCTCACGTGGGCAAGGGACAGTGGTGAACCCAACCCCACAGGGTCCAGGCCTCGACCCTCAGGGATTCAGCGGTGTGGACCCATCCGCAGAGAGGCTGAGAACACAGGCTGTCTCCTGTTGCCTTTCAGGCTGGCTGACCGCACAGAGGAGGCAGCTGGGGAGGAGACCGAGGGTAGATTGGGGTGGCGGTGTTACATGGGGAAGAAAGTCCAGAAAGGGAAAAGCCTCAGCAGGAAGTGGGATTGTGACCAAAAACCCTGCCTTTCTGCGTCTCTGTTAGGCTTGAAGGTTCCAACCACCATCACACTGACGCTGCGTGGCCAGCCGAGTAGGATCACCACGCTGAGCCCCGTGGGCTCAGGCGCTGCCCGTTCAGAGGAGCCCGCCTCCCAGCCTCTGCCCTCTGGCTCACAGGTGAGTCGGCCTGGGAAGACTGAGGACGCAGGCTCCGAGGTTGGGAAGCTTGGGCTGGCTGATGCGGGACCTGCCAGTGCCCTGGACTTGTGGGTGCGTCCCGTTCAGATCTCGACCCTGCGGTTTGAGGTTTGTGACCGAATGAGCCGTGGGCCCCTTTGAGTCTCTCCTTCCCTGTAGCGCTCCCTGGTTGTTGTGAGGATTAAATGCACGCAAGTCTGTGCCTGCATTAGTGTTTTGTTTGCTCCCATTCTCGGTGTTCTCATCCGGGGGTTGTAGTTGGAGGTCAGTTGGCTGGTACTCTCTGTGAACAGCAGCTTTCCAGCATTGCACCTTCTCAGCTCTTGACCTGCCCTCCTGTCTTCTGAGGCCCAAACAGGGTATTCATAGCTTCCACCGAGGAGCTGGCCGTCAGTTCCTCGTAGTGCACTGGATTTCCACTGTGACCTTTTCAAGTAAAATGTTTCTAATCTTAAATGCTGATGTGAGGAGCCACCCAGAATCAAAAGTTAACGAAAAATGTGGTTGGGGGTCTAGTATTGAGTGTGCTTTCCTTCAGCGTCCACTGTGTGGGCTGCGTGACTGCAGGTCCAGCCCGGTCCCTGTCACTCCACCTCGCCAGCCCTGCCAGCGATCGGGCAACGTGGTACTGTGGCAGAGGACAGTCCCCAAACATCTCCAGAAGCTTTTCTGCCTCTTCACTGGGGGAAAAGATGGTGCAGAGATTGTTGCCTGATGTTCACTGGGTTGGTAGCTACCCCTCCCACCTTTTTGCAGAGGGGTGGAGGTTTTTTATTTCTTTTATTCCTTATTTTTTCAGTTACGAAAGCAACTGCTCTTATTTTAGATAATGCGGACATTAAAGAAATGTTTAGAAAGAGCATTTTCCACAACACCACTCCCAGAGATTAAAAAAAATAGCAAGCCAAAACCCACTGTCGTCAAGCTGTTTCTGACTCACAGTAAGCCTTAGGACAGTAGAACTGTCCCATTCGGCTTCCCAGACTGTAAATCTTTATGGAAACAGACTGCCTCATCTTTCTCCTGCAGAGCGGCTGGTAGGGTCAAACCACTGACCTTTTGGCCGAGCAGTTTAACCACTGCGCCACCAGGGCTCCTTCTCCAGAGACGATAGCCAGTGTTAATAGCTTGATCTGCATTTTTCCAGAGTTTCCTGTCTGTACAAGTGCGTTATTTATTTTGGACAAAATGGAATCACAGAATACGGACTGTTTTGTAACTAGCCTTCATTTACAGAACATGAGGTGACCCCAGTCCCCTTCCACAGGTGCGGAGGGAACAGCTACCTTGTATCTCACTGTGCGGGTGCACCAAAGTGTGCTTTGTTCCTCTTCAGTCAGGTAGCCAGTTAGGTATGTTTGTTTTTTGATATTGTAAATAATGCTGTGGTGAACACCCTTGTTGTGAACTCCTGTGTCCCTCTGGGGACGGTTCTCTAGGCTACAGACCAATTAGTGGAGGGTACCAGCATCTACCATCTGGCTAGCTGCTGGGCCTTCAGGTGGCTTTGCTAGTTTACAGTTGGAGTCACAGTGAATAGAATACCTGTTTTCCTACACCTTTGTCAGTTGTGGAAATCGGTATTTTAATTTTAGTAATCTGATAAGTGAAAAATGAAATTTTGTTTTAAAGTACATTTTATTAATGAGATTGTATGTCTTTTATGAATTGCTTGTCATGTTCTCTATTTGATTTATAGCAAACCTTATATATTCGGAGGAGCCCTGGTGGTGCAGTGGTTAAGAGCTACAGTTGCTAAGCAAAAGGTGGGCAGTTCATATCCAGCAGCTGCTCCTTGGACACCCTGTGGGGCAGTTCTGCTCTGTCCTACAGGGTCGCTGTGAGTCGGAATCGACTCGACGGCAACGGGCTTGGTTTTTGACTGGTTTTGGGTGTTCAGATGTTAATCCTTTATCGGTTAGACAGGTTTCTACGCTTTATTCCAGCCCCTTGCTCTTCTGTTTTCTTTTTGTTCTGTATGCTGTCTGTTTAAGTATCGAATGCTTGTCTTTTAACTTTTAATTCTGGATGTTTTTTATCATACAAATATTTAGAATTTATACATAGTAGAATCTTCAGATTTTTTCGGTTTTGGCTCCAGAGTTTTGTGTCTTGATTAAGAAGGCTTTTGCTTATTTGTTCATTAGTCCACTGGGGATTTATTTTTTTACGCTACGCGAGCTAAGGATCTAACTTTATTGATGAGTCTGTTCATCCCTCCTGCATTCACCTGAAATCCACCGTTAACTACGTTCCAGGTTACGGCACACACCCAGGCCTGTTCTCTTCCCGGGATCTGTCTGTTCTTACCCTAGTTTTGTTTGACTGCTTGATAATGCAGAGCCTCCATTAAAGGCAGTGTCAGTCCTGTTTCCAGTTTGCTAAAGTCTTTATTCTTTTCTTTTTTATCAGTTAAAATGATGAGTTAAATAAATAGATTTCCTAGCATCGAACTCTCTGAATTCCCGATTCAGTGACTATTCAATGTGTCCTGTTCCTTCTTTTTTTTTTTGGTACTTGCTCACATTTCTTTCTGTTGTACATACGCAGGAAACAAGACCCTGTAAACAGAAAAGAAAGAAAGAAGGCAAGTGTTTCAGAGGAAGAGCACGTTCTGTTCTTTCGCTTCGCTTTTGTTTGATTTAGGTTCTGGTCTCTGTGTTTCTCAGATCGGCTTTTGCTTTCCTCCCTCCCATCTCCCACTTTGGTGTGTGCTTTTCTTCTCCGGCTGTTCCTTGTGGAACGAGGTGGAACCTTTTTGTGTTTCCCACGCTCTAGAGAGCTGCACGGTGTAGAAGGTTTCGGTTCCTTGACGGTTGGATGGCAGAGACCATAAAGTCATTTGGGCCCATTTCAGACATTCTGAGCCTGTGCTGATGCCATGTTGACGCACAGCTAGAATCCGGTCCCTGCCACATGACACTTTCTACCTGTGTCAGGTCATCCTCTTCAGCCTGCCGTGAGGTGGCAGAGCGGTCGGTGATGAGAAGCGGGCAGGGGTCCTGGCGAATTCTCCTTTTCCACGGCTAAATTAGAGCACAGGAAACAGATCCTATCTGGCCGCTGCCTGACGGTGTTAACTCAGAGCTTGGCCTTTCTCTCAGCTAAGTGGGTGTGTGGTCACTGGGAGGGCTCTGGTGCTAGTCTTTTCCTTCCGGCCAAGGGAGATGTTGTTAGATTAACGAGCCGACTCCAGAGCTCCTACCAGTCACCTCCCCGCTCACACTGCCTCATGGTGTGACGTGGAGAGAGCACCGAGCTGGGAGTCAGGCTGTCGTTAGCTGGCTGTGGGGTTTCTCTCCAGGTTTCGGTTTTGTCATCTGAAGTGAGGAAGTTGTGACCGAAGTTAGTGACTGTTGGGTTGGCGGAGTTTAGGAGGGGCTTTCTCAGAATCTCCTCAGGCTTTGAGAACGTGACACTTAAAAGGTCTCTAAACTGCTCGTTTCTGAGACAAATAGAAATTGTCACACGGACTGGATGATTGTTGATGTTAAGGTGTTGTTAGCTTTTTTATGTGTGATAATGGTATTGTATTTAAGCTTTTAAAAACTTAAATCCTTTTTTATTTTTATGATACATACTGCAGTATTTATTTAAAAAGAAAAAATGTTGTAAACTCCAGAGTAGATTTCTCTAAGATGTATGCAAGCACTTAATTATCTGTTTTGTTTCTGGCACTAGTTAATATTTACTACAAGTTTCCTTTACGGAGATGGGCCGTTCTGCTTTTCATGCTGAGACGTTAGGGAGCGGGGCTCTGACTGCATTGGGTCCTGCATCAGGAGTCCTGAGAATGGGCTCCTCGCATGTGGTCACAAGGCCTCTTCCTTTGTACTGCTGGCCACACGTGACTTGTCATGCTGGCAGGCAGCCCTTCTAGCTGGCCGTCCACAGCAGTGGGCCTTGCTGCCACCCTTGCAGGGGCCCCTGGGCGAGTGGGCTTACCCTCAGGTATGTTCATAAGCAAGGTGAAGGCATCGTCACGTGCACAGCCTTGCCTTTGGAAGTGGGTCCTTTGAGGTTTTGAAGTCAAGCCCTTCTTCTTTCTTCCCTTCCTGTCCCCTGCATCTTCCCCCTTTTACTGAAATCTTGGAGCCCTCGTAGGAGTTTTCCAAGGGTGAAGTCTAGAAACGTGGGGAGACCTTTGCCTTGGTGGAAAGAGGGTTATCCTCTCTACCTCGCTTCCTTCTTCTGGAGCTGCAGGACCCCCACAACACCTAAAACATGAACCATACCTAAAAAATGATATTGTCACTCTAGTGGAAAGTTTACCTTTTACTTCTCTCGCCCCTGACAATTCACCGATTTCCTTTTTGCCTGCATTCCCTTCTTGTCCTTAAGCATAATAATAAGAGCTGTAGTTTCTGGTTGGACACATGGAAGGTGCTTTACCTGGATTATCGCATTTAATCCTCACAACGACTCTGTGAAGTAGATGCTGTCATCTGCATCTTATAGGGGAGGAAGAGGAGGCTCAGAGAACATGAGTAATTTACCCTAGAAGGTGGTGGAGATGGGTCTCCGACTGCAGAGTCCGTTAACCACTTGGACTGCTAGAACACATCTTTGTGCATCCAGCTTTTTCCCTACTGAGAATGACTTCTTTGGAATAAATTCTCAGGAGTGGGACGATTGGGTTGGGGGTCTAGGTGTGTGAACCTTGCAAAGCTTTGACCTTGTTAAACTGCCTCTCCTGCCACAGCGCCTGCCTCCAGCGCCCTGAAGGTGCCTGCGATATGCCCCCTCTACCAGGTTGGTGATGGTTGCCTGGCGGTGTGCCGTAGGCACATGTGCTGTCCTGCTGAGCTGTCTGCCTACTGAAGACCTCTTTCAGATAAGTCATTTTTGCCTCCCTGTCAACTGTCTTCAGGGTTGGGCCTCTGGATCTCGTGAAACCATCAGGCTAGGTGATACGATGCCAGCAAGGGAGCACCGCCCTCCCGGATCTACAAGTCTGGTCCCCAGACCCCCAGCTGCCTCAGCAGATTTGACCGTGCATGGATCAGAGGCACTTCCTCCCCCTCATTCGCTGTGACTTGACCCAAGTGTCAGTGTTGGACTGCTCACTGCCTTTAATAAAGGAGTTTCCATTTGGAAGTCTGTGCTACCTGCGTGCCAAGTTGGGAGGAGAAGTCCGTGTGCTCTGGGCTGTGGGAGTCAGGACTGAGAGCTCTTTGCTGAGGACCAGGTGTTCAGGCCAGAGGGCTTGTTTTGGACATCCGTTGCCTTCACTCAGCAGTCATGGGAGAACGGGCCCCATGCAACCCCCTCTTAGAAACCACAGCAAATACTGAGCTGAGACCTGGGAACTCCAGTTTTCACATCAGGCAAAGTGAACTGGGCTGCAGTCTCCTGGCCCTTTTGGCCGCCCTGGGTGTGGGGATCAGTAGCGCCAGGAGGTAAAAACTGGTCCCTTCTTCTCACCGTGCTTTGGGGAGTTCTGTATGCAGAGGGCCTGCAGGTCCAGAAAGGCCAGAGAAGAGGAAAGGAGCAGTAACTGAAGCAGCTTGAAGGTCCTGTGGTGGGATGATTTGCGCTTGGGGCTTTGCCTGTAACACCGTGGTGTTTAAACCAAAGGAACAGTTCATTCAGCGGGATGCGAGAGGTAGAATTTGCCACGTCAGAGGGAAGAAGCCCCAGCCCTTGAGATTTCTGTCTCCAGTGACTGGAAATGAAGCAGGTATAACCAGCTAAGCTCACATCTTGGCCGTCCCAGAAAGCTTGGGGATCGAGACCCCAAAGGCCATGTTCAGTGTTCTGTTTCTATTCCACGTGACTTTTTCTTCCTGCTCGGAGGTGGGAAGATTACTGGCAGTGCTTCTCCTTCGCAGAGCTCTTGGTACCAGCCTGAGCCTGGAGATAGAGGTCCCTGGAGAAGTGGTCGTGAAGATGGTTCTCCGAGCCCTCCCTCCTCCTCATAGCACCTGTCTGCATACTCAGTCTTAGGTTTGGCTTAGGACTGGTCCTCCAGAGCACATGCAAGGTGATAAGACAAACCAAGTGTGACTCTCCCGTGTCCTTTTCTGCAGGTGGGGAGGGCCCACAGCCTGCCGTGGCTGGAATTGCAGCTGGGCTCCTGTCCCACAGTGCTGTGTGTCTGAGCCAGGTCACCTGCACGGGCAGCCAGGAGGGAGCTCATCTCTGCAGGAGTCTCGGACGAGACAGACTGGTTGCTGCAGGCAGGGACGGCGAGAATGTGTGTGATGGGAGAGGATTGGGCTCCCTAAACACCATACCATTGCTCCTCAGCAGTCACTCACACAGAAAATTAGGCTGCATGTTTGTGTTAGCTAGTAGGTACCTGCTTTCTGAAACTCAGGAGGTGTGTAGTAAATTGGAGAAAGGTATGAAATCTGAAGGAGGCTTCCAGGGCTCGGGTTCGACAGCTTTGCAGGTAGGACAGTAGCACACCAGCAGGAACGAGAATGGTATTGGGCTCTGTGAAGATTGTAGGAATCAGGACAGGCAGAGGGCCCTGCAGCGCCCATTCCTGAAAGTGCAGCCTGGGCAGTGCAGAGAGGCATGTGCCAAGGCCAGAGGAAACCACAAATGTCCTGCCTTTGTGGAGAAACCTAGTACTCTTCCCATCGACGCCTCCTGAGCCTGGGCTGTACTGCTCAGAGTGCTGAAATAAAGTACTCTGCGTTCACACAGTGGACCTGGAGCCCATGACCTCAGGAGGCGATACTGCTGGTGGAAAACTTTTGTTCAAGGATCAGAAAGGTTTTCGTTTAATTCCTGGCTGACAGATGCACGTTGATGCCCCATGGAAGGCGTCCTTGGGCTTTGAGAAGAGGTCAGTGAAGGGGAAAGACCTTTGGTGCCCCCCGCGGCCCCGCCACTAGGACAGTCTCGGGCTGGATGGGCTCTGGAGCAGAGCTGTGCAAGAGTTCCGTTCTTACACTGGCAAAAACGATTTAAAAAAAAATAAAGCCAGCCTTTGGATTGCTTCAGCTTGTTTTCCATTGACTTCTCTCATGTTTGTCCTAGTAATAAACCCAGTGAAGCTGGCACAGAAAGGAAAGCTAACATAGGGTGGCTGGCGGTTGCCTTATTGGTGGCACACATTCATTTAACCCTGTGAGGTGGGTGCTGTAGTTACCTTTTTACAGGTGAAGGAACTGAGGCACAGAGAAGTCACACAGAAAGTGGCGGAAGCAGACGAGAACCCAGGCTGCCTGGTGCCCAGTACCTGTTTATCCTTGGCACTGTGCTGGGGTTCTGAGGCGAAGGTCTGACATGGAGATTAGCCCAGGAGGTGAGGCGCTGGTGGCTTGGCCAACATGTGACCCTTGTCAGTTGGGCTTCCACCAGGCCTGGAATAATTGCTACTGGCATGTGGGGCTCTGGCTGGGCCTGCAGTAGCTGGGGCTCCTTGACCTCGGCCCTTTTGCACATCCTATACCACCACCAAAAATAAAGACTTAGGGACGAATGAATGAATTCCAACATCCAGATTATTCGTGAACTTGTATCCAAGTGGACTTTCCTTCCAGTCCTTCAATTCCAGGTCCCCACACTTGGCATTGGAACCCTCTCGGGGGAGGCCATGGTTTGGCTAGAGTGCTTGGGAGCGTCTAGCGCACCTGGGCACATCTCCATCTCCCTTAGCGTGGTACCTGATGTACTCTCTCCCTCTCAGCTCTAGTCTCCGACTGCGTGAGTCAGGTGAGATGAGAGATGAGGAAGAGATTGCTTAAAATGACAGCTTTCTTAAACCTAGGAGTGTGAGAGACAGGGCCATAGCAAGTGTGGAGGCACACAAGTCTTTGTTATCTTTTCATCTCTTTTTCTAAGCGTATGTTTTGGTCAGGATCGTTGTAAGAAGCAGAAACCCATTCACCACCAAAACAGCTCTGAAAGCGAGTATTCTCTCAATAGGCATTCTCCGTTTCTGCCACTTACCTCACGACCTTAGCTGGCTCAGCGTTGCCAGGACTTTTCAGCTGCAGAGCCCTCCAGGGACAGCACGTCCTTGTCTTTCGGTTCAAATTCTGAAGACAGTAAGCCTGGTTGGCACAGTCCCACTCCTGGGTTGTTGTCCCCTCCCACCCCATCTAATAGTTTCTGGAGGATGGAGTCATGCTGTTCATATTATTATTCTTTCCAAGAAAAGAGTAGAAGGGTTAAAAAAGAAAACAAAATTGTGCAGAGCTGTTAGGATGTGTGGTTTTTTAAAAAAACTTTTTGTTTTGAAATTTGCGGGTAGTTGCAAAGATAGCACAGAGAGGCCTCATGTACCCCTCACCCAGTTTCCCCCAGCGGTTGTGTCTCACGGAACTGTAGTACAGTATCGAAACAGGAAACTAACATCAGGATCGTGTGTGTGTGTGCGTGCGTGTGCATAGTCGTATCATTTTATCACGGGTGGATTCCTGTAACCACCACCACAGTCAGGATACAGAACTATTCCACTGCCACAAACCTCAGGCCGCCCCTTTATAGTCACACCCACCCCTCTCCCCACCGCTCGTAACCCCTGGCATCAGTAGATCTGCTCTCCATCTCTGTAATTTTGTCATTTCAAGAATGTTCTATAAATAGAATCCTACACTACATGGCATGGCTGCTGCTCGCACTCAGTGGGATGCCCTTGAGAGCCAAGTTGTATCAACGGTTGGTTCCTTTTTACCACCCCACAGTCTGTGTAACCATTCATCTGTTGTAGGGCATTTGGATTGTTTCTAGACTGGGCTGTTACAAATAAAGCTACTGTGAACAATCGAATGTGTAATTGTGTGAAAATTAGTTTTTATTTCTCTGGGATAAATACCCAGAAGTTTGACTGCTGGGTCATGTGATAAGTTTTTAGTTTTTAAGAAACTGCCGAACTGTGTTCCAGAGTGGCTGTACCCTTTTACTTTCCCACCAGCAGTTGCGAGAGATCCAGTTTCTCTGCAGCCTTGCCAGCATTTGGTGTTGTCTCTGTTTTTTATTTTAGCTGTTGTAGTAGGTATAGAGGGATACCTCACCGCGGCCTTCATTTGCATTTCCCTGATGACTAATGATGGTGAGTATCTTGTGTGTGCATGTTTGCCATCAGAGTGTCTTCTTTAGTGAAATGTCTCTTCATGTCTTTTGCCTCATTTTCTAATTGGATTTTTGTTTTTTAACAGTTGACTTTTTAAGAAACTTTTTATTCATAGATTACAGGAAGTTGCAAAGAAATGTACAGGAATCCTTCACACCTCCTCCAGTGCTGACATCTGTTCCTGTAGTGCAATATCAAAACCAAGAAATGGACATTGGTACACTACAGGATTTATTCAGATGCCACTAGTTATGCATGTCCTCATTTGTGTGTGTGAATATAGTTCTGTGCAGTTTTATCACACGTGTAACTTCGTGTATCATTCGCTGCGATCAAAATGTGTAACTGTTCCATCATCATGGCTCCCTTGTACTGCCCCTTTAGAGAAACCCCCTATTCCTAATTCTTGGCAATCACTCATCTGTTTTCCATCTCTATAACTTTCTTTCAAGAATGTTGTATAAACGGAATCAGCAATATGTAACCTCTTGAGTCTGGCTGTGTTCACTCAGCGTAATTCCCTTTATGTCTAAAGTTGTGTGTATCAATAATTCACTCCTTTTTATTGCTGAGTAGTATTCCATGATATGGATGTACTGTGGTTTGTTTAACCATTTACCCATTGAAGGACATGCGTGTTTTCAGTTTCGGGTGTTTGTGTACAGGTTTTGGCATGAACATGGATTTTCATTTTTCTGGGATAAATGCCCAAGAGTGCAGTTGCTGGACTGTATGACAAGTGCGTATTTCGTTTTAGGAGAAACTGCAAGCTGTTTTCCAGATTGGCTGTGCCATTTTGCATTCCCGCCAGCCATGTGTGAGACATCTGCTTCCTTGCATCCTCGTCGGCATTTGGTATTGTCAGCATTTTTTAGTTCAGCCATTCGGATAACTGTTTCGTGATGTCTTAGTTTTAATGTGCATTTCTCTAATGGCTAATGAGGTTGAACATCTTTTCATGTGCTTATTTGCCATCGGTATCTTCTTTGGTGAAATGTCTGTTCATGTCTGTCTTAGGCTGGGTTCTCTAGAGAAGCAAAACCAGTAAAGTGTATAAATATATATAGAGAGAGATTTATATAAAGGAAATGGCTCACACGGTTGTAGAGACTGGAACGTCCCAAGTTCGTGGGTCAGGCTGGAGACTTTTCCTGATTCACATACCGCAGGGGCTGGTGAACTCAAGATCAGCAAGTCAGACAGCAGGGCTCTGGCTCACAGGCTGTGAAGACCAACAAATCCCAAGATCCGCAGGCAAGACAGCAGGTAAGCTGCTAGCTCAAGTCCCAAGAACTGGAGGTCAGACGAATAGAAGCCAGCCGCAGAATCCAGTGCGAGCAAAATCCCATGAGCCTTGCCAGAAAGTCCACTTACACTGGATGCAGGCTACACCCCCAAGGAAACTCCCTTTCAACAGACTGGCTGTTCACAGCAGATCCCATCATGGAGATGATCACATTATATAAAATCTCATCGTGGAGGTGATCATATCATTATATGACTGCCAAACTACATCATAACTGCCAAACCGCTGAGAGTCATGGCCCAGCCAAGCTGATGCACAGCCTTAAAGAGCACAATGGCTTTTGCTCATTTTCTACTCGGGTTGTTTGTTTGACTGTCGACATTTGAGAGTTCCCTTCTCTCCTTTGCTCCCGAAGGGGCGAGACCAGTGGGGTATCTTAGATGGCTGCTCACAGGCTTTTAAGACCCCAGATGCTACTCACCAAGGTAGAGTGTAGAACATTGCCTTTATAAACTGTGTGATGCCAACTGAGCTAGATGTTCCCCGAGACCATGGTTCCCACAGCCCTCCGCCCAGCAATTCAGTCCCTCAGGGAGTTTGGATGCCTTTCTAAAGGGAAGATTTTTGATGGCAAGGAGCATATTTTTCAGGAGGCTGAGAACTGGCCTGGAATTTTTCCTCTAGTGGCATTTCTGCTGAGGAAGAAGCTACTGCGTAAGCCATAAGCAGGCAATGGACAGGTTCCAGTCTTGTCTGAGTGCCAGGGACTACATGTCACATCTGTGTGTACATCTGCGTGAATCAGCACTCTTTCTTTCAGGGGTTTGTCGCTGGTCTTTCAGGGGTTTATCAAGAGAGTTACCAGTCAGCCTCTTGGCTGTCGATTGAAGCCAAGTCAACAGGAAGATGGATGGCGTGCCAAGTTAGGAAAAGATGACACCCTCAAAAGGCACGTCAGAGTGTAGTGAAGGGACCACTTAATCAGGGTTAAGGGAAACAAGAAGGGACCAGCAGCAGTGGGAGACCCCTTAGACCTGAAGGAGCAGTGCTGCTGGGTGCTGGCGAGAACTGCAGCTGCCGAGAGGGGCACCCAGCTGTGGCTGTAAGTAAGGAATGCGGAGGGAGCCGGGTGGTGGGTGGAGGTTGGGAATAAATACTCCAGTCTCTCTTTTCCTGCCGCATGTTTCCAAAGATACACACACGCAGTCTGTCACAGGTCACCTGGCAGGAGTCACCGTGTGAGGAGTGCTGCTCGCAGTTACTCCTAAAATGACACAATTGCCAAAATTTTGGTTCCTGCGCCCGAGACTGAGTTCTGCAGGTTTTAAGGTTTTAGTATCAAAGGGGGAGAGGCTTCCACTGAAGTAGCAGCTGAGACTGCCACCTGAACATTCTGATCTCCTCATGCCTTAAGGGCCCTGGTTTTGGTTGAGAAGATGGACTTTTGTGATCAAGAGGAAGCCAGGTGGCTGCCTCAGTGGGGCCCACAGTAAAGACCCTGGTGCCTGGTGTGCCTCCTTCAGTTACCACACAGTGATAAAAGTCCATTGCGAACTGCAGTCCCAGCGGGACCCTGTGGGCTCTGGTCCTCCCTCAGGAATGTGGTTTGGGTCACCCCACTGGGAAAAGAACCTTGTTCAGCTGTGGGGTTGGCCAAAGGCAAGGGGAACATGGCTAGGTAGTAAAGGAGTCACAAACACCAGCCAGAGTTTTATGACCGAGTGAGGAAATGAGGGCTGTAGTCTCCACTTCTACTGCTGTCTTGACGCCCCTTTTCCCTCTTATTTTACTCCATGGTTGGGTGGGTTGTTAGTGACTCAAACTGCTGTAGTTGCGTTATATAGATGTGGGATTATGATGGGATTAGAGGAGGCCTGGACGCCACTCAGAGATCCTCAAACAATAACTTGACATGCCTGGGGGTCGTCTCTTGGGGAAGGGGCAAGTAAGGTGTTTTTTTTTTTTAATGTAAGCCATTTTTTAAACTGTGGGAAGAAGGTGTGTATTACTATTGATCAGCCAACAAGTTGATTATAGTGGAAACTCACTGTTTTTTGTTTACCCAGTATCACTTTTCTCATGGTGATAGCATCATGCCTTTTCCTTTGAGGAACCCCTCCCTCCTCCCCCGCCAGTCAAATTGTCCTGCTTGCACTGGCCGTCGGAGCCCTAGTGGCGCAGTGGTAAAGCACTGTCGGCAGTTCAAACCCATCAGCTGCTTCATGGGAGAAAGATACGGCAGTCTGCTTCCATAAAGATTGCAGCCTTGGAAACCCTCTGGGGCAGTTCTCTGTCTTCTAGGGTTGCTGTGAGTCAGAAGTGGCCTGATGGCAACGGTTTTTTTTTTTTCCCCCCAGCGGCATTGGCTGTATCACTTAGGAATGCCTGCAACCTCAGGTAACAGAAAACTTGACCACGGTGGCTACAAGGTAACTATATGTCTGGATTTAGATGCCGTTGGTGTTCACAGCCTTGGAAACCCTATGGGGTGGGTCTCTGTCCTGCAGGGTCACTGCGAGTCGGAATCGATTCGATGGCAGTAGGTTTGGTTTTGGTGTTGATTTAGCTGCTGAACCAGGCCAGGACCCAAATCCTTGCCGTTCTGTTTGCCATTGGCTCCTGCACAGATGGCTTCCCCAGCAAGAGGAAGTCTGTCTGGGGTAAAGAAGAAAAGCAAGGCCTTCCAGCAGATGTCCCCATAGATCTTATTGGCCAGAATTGGGTGATGTGCTCCTAGCTGCCGAGGAGGCTGGGGAAAGTGGGGACTAGAATTGCTGTGATCACCTTAAACTGATCACATCTGTTTTACCTGGGATGATGCCCTGGACCAAACTGGGGAATGGATGTTAGATGGGCAGTTGTAAAGGTCTGCCGCATCGGCCAGGGGCCTGCTCCTGACCAAGCATTCAGTCACTCGCTGAGCTGAGAGACACAATGGCAGAGACAGTGGGGGCCGGTTCATTCTGACCTCCCCCACCCCCGCCCCAAG